CTATTCCATTCTCTATGTCATTTATAAGGATGCTGAATAGCACTGGGCCAGGAAGAAGCCTTGGCAGACTCTTCTTGATACTTCCTTCCAAGAAAACATGAAATCTCTGAAGTGACACTTCTAGGGGTTGCTCCAAGTCCAATGATAACACCTTCTTTTGAAAGATTTTTGCACCATTACAGGACATATCATTCTTCAGAGAACCAAGGGATATACAACTTTGTTCTCTATACATACCAATGCAATTTCTGGGCCCAGCAGAAAAAGGGACATAAGAATATGGGTTTCGTCCACTTGAGTTCTCAGGGAAAAAACGCTCAGGTCTGAATTCCTCTGGCTCTGGGAAAATGTCAGGGTCTCTGTGCAATGCGTAAGTCACAATTAGGACACCAGTTCCTTTTGGTATCTTAAACCCTCCTGCCAAAGAAGAACAAATGTTTGTCAACACAAGACAAAGTCCAATAGCACAAAACATCTCCCTGCAACCTGTTTGGACTACCTACTGATATAGCAGTCCTCATTTAGAATACGGCCAATAATTGGAACGGAAGGGAAAAGACGAAGCACTTCCTTAATAACACATTCCAGATATCGCAGTTTCTTCAGATCATCCATTGTGATGTGTCGGTCAGAATTACCTGATAAAATAGCAAAAGTATGTTAGCTTAATAAGGTAATCTCTAGAGAAGAGATATTAGCTTGCACAGAAAAGCATTAGCATGCTTATGGTAGAGCAGCTTTAGTTGCCAAAATGTGTCAGAACTGACTGGTAATGTCCTTACCATTAGCAGGGAACACTGCCTGTGCTACATGTACAATTAAAACTGGTAACCTAGTTTACTCATAGTCTCTATCTGTTTAAAAAGTGGGAGGTGAAAGCCTTGTTTGACCAAAGTAATGACTAGGGGCAGAGATCAATGTCTAGTGAAATTTATAGTATATGGAAGATTGTGGCTTTGAATGTAAGAGAAATGAAAGATAAAGAGGGTGAATTAAAAACAAAATGAAAGAAAGAAAAATAAATATGTTGTATATTTGTGAAACTAAAAGTAGGGGGAAGTATGTAATAGTTCTGACCAAAAGGGGTCTGATCTTGGGGAGCAGAATTGATGAATATATGTCAAGAAGTAAAGGTATATGTTTCATTATGAACTCTTTGGAAAAGACCCTGATGCTGGGAAAGATTGAAGGCAAAAGGAGAAGGGGACGG